GGCGGCGACGATTTATATGCTCGATATGTCACCAGGTCTTCTAAACAGCCGGAACCACTGCGACCAATCGCGGCTGACCCGTTGTGAAAACTTTGCACAAACTTTTCACAAATTTGCTCACACCAGCGTCCAGATCGTCGGCGTGCGTCAACCCTTATGGGTGGCGGTCGGGCGAGGATGTGCCAACACGGTTTGTGTGGACTGCCACTGCTGCCCTTCGACGTGGCCAATGTTGACTGAGGACGTGCTGGGTTTTGCGGTGGCACTGACGATTGATGGCAAGTGACAATGCGGTAACAGACAAAGAAGGCAAGCGCTACTGAGGTGGTCAGCAGTCCGCGCAATCTTTCGCAAATGTCCGGCACTGTTCTTCGCTCGCACTTCGAGTTATCACGAGCAAAGGCGCTAGTGGTGATCGATCCGTGATCAGAGTGCAGATAAAACAGCGGCAACAATCACAGCGCATGCAACGCTGTCGGCCAAGGATAGACTGGCAACAGCCAGATACCTCAAGGAAATTCCTCACCACCGCAGGAGAGCCTGTCAGCCAGTAGTTGTTAAAATGTTACCTTGTACACGAGGCGTTGAATACTGTTAGGTAGTGCTATCGAGTGTGCCGATCGCCTGTGAGGAGCGATGGCGCAAAGACTGAGGAAGTGAGGGATAAGCCATCGGCGCTGCCATCGCCGATCGAACGCGAAGGATGGACGTCGCTCCTTTTCGCTGCTCTCTCCGCAGCCGCGGCGTGTTTCCGACACTCGAACATCGATTCAAACCAGATTGTGAAGTTGGCACTTGCCGCAAAGCGCGATCAGCAAACAAAGGCTGAATTCCGAAAAACCATCACGCCCGCATTGATTTAAAAGTCGACTAGGTTATGCTGTCATTTATATTCGTGGTGGTGAGCCGTTCGTCAGCGCCCATCTTTGAACCAAAGCCGCCACACACCTGAAGCCTGGTGGATTCATGAACTTGCGTCTCTCGAAAGCCGAATTCGACTCGTATCCATTCCTCACAAGTGGACAGGGCCGAACGTGAAGAAATGTATTTCAGAGCGATGCATAGCACGGGACATTTTCTTTTCAGCCTTGTATCGTGATCGCTTGCCTTGAACCTTGACATGGACAGTAAGCCAAGCAGTGGTGGCTACAGAATGCCCCATCTCCACCTATGGAGCAAATCTGTCCAGTCGTCCTGACTTTAAGAACTGATGGAAGAGTGTGGCAGTAATCGTCCGCACTGACTTTTAAAGAGAACACGGCTAAGACTTTTGATGGCGTCTATAACGGATGGTGATTACTTTGAAAGAGGAACTGACAGGAAAATACGGGGGACACTAAACGGATAACATGTAAAGTGGGGAGGAATGAGTATCATTCATGCCAGTTGAGTTTCACGAGATAAGAAAACAAGGTGTGAAGCCTCAGCGAACGATGTCACTTATTGTTCTGTAAGAACAGGGTAACGACAGTGTGTTTAGCACGTTTATTGTTCTCATCATGCTCTTGAACAGACTTTTATCTGCACTCAAGGAAAGAAAAGTAAAACTTAAAATCTAAAATTTTCATTTCTCATTGAGCATCTTCTGGTGGAATGAGACAGTAGCACAATGATACAGGATTTCGCTCGGTATAAAAACTGTGACAAAAACGTATAAACATATTGACTGTTGAACCTCCCTTGGCTATGTGCAAGTTTTGCACTTGTCCTCGATGCATCGATTCTCGGAAAATGCTGAATACCGTGAAGCTACGATTGCACCTTAGAGATGAAATATCGCTATCGCAGTCGATGGAAACATACAAGAGTATATATCCTATCAAAGTTTTAAACAAGTTTTCCAGTAAGAATTTACCCGAAGATGGTTATTTCATTCAAACCGTGAAAGTTGTGCGGAAAACGTAATAAAACATCATTTTATTGTACAAAAAACTACAAAACAAATTTACTATGTTCAACAATCTACCATTACTCTGGTGTTTCACATAAAATAAATCTCTAATAGCAAATGTAGAGCTTCCATTCTTTCCAATACATTTTTGAGAATTATTGACAAGTTTGGTGGGTTGTATTTGCACCGGTCTCTGTTCTTTTCATCTTATTTTCTAATTTGCATTAACACTTTGTGCTAATAATTTTTGTCTGCTATCAGGTGAGTCAAGACGAAGTGCTGTTTGATGGCGAGCATCAGACAGCATGGTCATGTTTCGTACCTTATGTCGTGGCCACACCGAAGCACCATGCTGTCCCTATCATTCGCAGATCAGCAATCTTATCCGCTGGTTGCACTAAAACGCAATGGGAGAATTCCTTGCGCAAAGCAATTAGCAAAAGAAAAGTTGTGCATGCCCCGTGTTTGAACTTGTTATTCTAACTAAGGAACTAAGCAACTCGCCCACCTACTTACACTGCGCTAGTACGCTCTCCAAATACAGCTTCTGGTGTATTCTAATTTCTGCCTTAAAGCTCGTAACTTTCAGGCCATATTCATAACTGCACTTTCGCGATATGCAAAACTTGCGGCTCTACTCTTCTGTTTCCTTCCTAAACATAGCATGTTTTGTGCGTAAGAAGGATGAAACACGACTAAAATTGGTCGGTTTCAAATGATATGCTCTAGATTACTTACTTTACGCTCAAGCAGGTCAGTTAAGGGATCGCTTCTTGAGCCTACCAAGGTTCTTTCATAACCATGTCTGTTTCAATTAGATCGATCGATAGCCTCGAAATGTCGGTCGAATTAGCAGTTCATTCGGTGTAGCAGCACAATTCTTAAGGGGTCGGATTTGAACTCCAGAGAGGCACAGGGAGATTCAGGTTCGAATGCCATCAGGAGACCATTTTTATTTTAACCATAAATTCCCGTCAGCAAGGAATGACCTTATCTTATTTCGACGAAACCAGCCCAGAAGCGCGTAATGAGCCTGTGACTCGCGAATAGCAGGAGCTGCATAGAAATCTGGTCTGATCATGCCAGAATGGGAACCCACTTTGTGGCTACATTTCGCTCCAACCACTCCGGTGACTGACTATCCAGCACAAGATGCTACCCCAATTTTTCTTCGTAGTCAAGTGTGTACCACTGCATGTGAAGGAAACGGAAGGCGCTGTGCTTGTCATGTAGCTGTTAGTATCGTCGTCGTGAATTAGGCGATCCTGATTGATGACAAAGAAACGGAGATCAGAACTGTGCCTAAAGCTCAACAATAGAACAGTTCCATAGACTGCGCCTATCACTGAGTAAAATTCACAT